AATAAATAAAATCTTAAAAATAAATAAAAAAACTTTGAGAGATTCTTAACCCCAAGTTTTGATGATATGATGATTTGAGTAAGACTGAGTGATCAGAGAGGGAGGCTCTAGGAGAAAGTTGTGCTTTTGCATTAGGGCTAAGATTGCAGTGAGAATGGGAGGGTCGGCTGGTGACAAGGAGTTGCTGAAAGAAGTACTCGCTCCCAGTGGGAGAAATGACATGGCTTAGGAGCGACTAAAAGAGGCATTTCAAGGTGAGATGGGAACTTGAAGATCCATGGGGAAGCCAGAGGAGGAGCTTAAAAGCAAAAGTAGGTCAGCACTAAGCAGGAAAACTTTTTTTTTTTTTTTCCTGAGACACTTCAGACTGATTGCAGGGGCGAATGGTAGAGAGCAGGGAGGAGAGAATCAGGAGGAGATGGCTGTGTAAGCTGAAGACGAAAAACAGTCAAAGTAAGTGTGAAGGACTTTTCACTAGCAAGAAGGTGTTGAAATGGGCCACCCAAATCGGCTCAGCCCCAGGGAGCTAAGGTGACAGGCTAAGGCTGACAGATCCCTTTCCAATCCCTTTCCATAAGGTGTGAAGTCGAGCTCTCAGGATAGCAAGTCGACAAATCAAAGGGCTTTGAAATTTATTTCTATTTGTTGGAATTTGCTATATATGCCTGTACCTTTGGATACCATCAAAGATGACTTCTAAGTCTATGGCTTGTACATTTTCTTTTCTATCTGTAAAAAAAAAAAACAAAAAAAAAACAAACCTGGACTTACTCTGGTGATCAATTTTTACAAATATTGAATCATTATGTTGTATACGTGAAACTAATATGTATAATGTTATGTGAATTATAATGTTATGTGAATTATGTATCAAAAATTTAGAAAAAAACTAAAAAAAATTAGTAGAATCATAAAATAAGCCCCCCCAAAAAAAAAAAACACCACAACATTACAAAGATGATAATGGGAATAAAGATCTTGTGAGGCTGGTATTTTCAGCTTTCCATCTGCCTGTCTAGGAAATATGTTCAAGGGCAGATACGGTCTTAGGTCCAACCTGGGAGGGTCAGGATGAAATAAGGTGTCCCTTAACGTAGGGTTTGACATTTCTCAATTTTCAAGGACGAGAAAGCTAAGACTCCTAGAAGTTTCAAGACTTGTCTAGAGCTCTGTGGCTAGTCCCATTGGATCATGTTAGCAGTCTGTTTCTCTCTTACTGTGCTCCTTCATTTAAAATATTCTTCAGTATCACTAAACAATCTTAGTCAATATTTCTCCTACCAACTTATATCGTCTTCCCTTGGTTTTTGTTACTAGGAGTTGTTGACAATGAGGATACTTTTTTCCATTTAAAGATATTTTAGCTCTTTGAACTAGTAATTACTTAACACTCCACTATCACTATTTTTCAGCTTTGTGGAAATTTGCTTTGAGCCTTTTAACACCTTGGCCTTACACTTCTTTAACTTCTCAAATTTCAGTCATTTGCTATAAGCCCTATTGATTTTTTTTAATAGACTTTAATTTTTAGAGCAGCTTCAGGTTCAAATTGAAACTGAACAGAAGACAAGATTCCCCATATATCCCCTGTCCTCACTCATGCTTAGCCTACCCTGTTCTCGACATCCCCTATCAGAGTCAGACATTTGTTGGAACTGATGAACCTCAGCTGCCACATCATTATCTGCCAGAGTCTATAGCTTACATCGGGATTCACTCATGTTGTTGTATATTCCAGAGGTTTGGACAAATTTATAATGACATATATCTGCCATTATGGTATCGTACACAGTAGTTCTACCGCCCCAAGCATCCTCTGTACTCTGCCCCCCTTTCCCAAATTCCCTCTGATCTCTGACAACCACTGCCTCCATAGTTTTGCCTTTTCTAGAATGTCATAAAGTTGGAATCATACAGCTTGTAGCCTTTTCAAATTGGCTTATTTTACTTAGTAAAAGGCAATTAAGTTTCCTCCACGTCTTTGCATGGCCTAATAGCTCATGTCTTTCTCTTTTTTTAAAGATTTATTTATTTACTTATTTGAGAAAGAGGGGGAAGGGGCAGAGGGAGAGGAAGAGAGAATCTCAAGCAGACTCCCCGCTGAGTGTGGAGCCCAATGTGGGGCTTGATCCCACAACCCTGAGATAATGACCTGAGCCGAAACCAAGTCCGATGCTTAATTGACTGAGCCACCCAGGCGCCCCTCATTTCTTTTTAGATCTGAATAATATTCTTTTTAGTGCTGAATAGTAATAAATAATGATAATTTAGTGCTGAATAAAAAAGGTACCACAGTTTTGCCCATTCACCTACTGAAGGACCTCTTGGTTGCTTCCACGTTTTAGCAATTCTGAATGAAACTGCTGTGAACAACCATGCGCAGGTTTTTGTGTGGACATAAGTTTTCAATTCCTTTGGATAATTTTATTTTTGTGAGAAGCCACCAAACTGTCTTCCAAACTGTCTGTACCATTCTTCGTTCCCACTGGCCATGAATGACAGACAGTTTTGTTACTTGACATCTCCCTACCTTTTGGTGGTGTCAGTGTTCTGGATGTGGCCTTGTTGATTGTACTTCTCTTGTGTCTGTAATTCATGAATCTTTCTCTTTATGGTCGCTGTCACCACTAACGTTCAAAATCATTTCCGCCCCTCAGGACTACTGCAGGACTCTCTTAACAATTTACCTGTCTCTACCAGGTCTGCCTCCCCAGCCCAACTTGGACAGTGCCTCCGGATTCATTGACTAAATATCACCTTTAGTATTTTAACTTTTCCATTAGAAAGTCATCAGAAGCTTTTGTCTAATAAATAAAACTGAGCCTGGCATTGAAAATGCTCCAACATTTATCTCTAGCCCAGCCTTCAAACATAATTTCCTTTTACTATTTCCCTCTATAATCCTGTCTTTCAAGGCAAACTACGTTTTTTTATTTTTTTACCTCTTTTCTGTGTTAGCCTCATTATTTTCTTGCATCTACCTCCTTGAGGATTTTTCCTCTGCCTTTCATCGCTATTTTTTGTCATAACAACATGATACATCTAATCAATCTCCATGCTACTGTCTTGCTCTCCAGCATGCCTCTTAGACCTGCCTCTTTCTTCCTCTGCCATGACTTTGGGCTCCAGTTTTGATCCACTGTTCTACTAAAGGACCTTCTTTGCTGTCATGGTGATTTCTCTCTTGTGGGAATCTTAAGCTACCATTTTCCTGCTTGGAAGCTTTTCCTGCTCTCCATTTGCCGGAGCAAGTTCTTTGGCTTGGTTTTTAGGTCAAATCATGGCATTTTTACGTCTCACCTCTTGCTCTACCATTTTCTTTCATTATTCACTTTGTGTTCTATGTCAACATATTAAGTTGCACATCTCTTTGCTTTTCTACGCTCTCCTAAAAATTTTCCCTGCTTTGTCCACCTGACAGACTCTTAGGTTATGCTTTACCTTGTTCTTTAGACACGACCTCCTGAAGCTTTTCCCTGAACACCCCAAGCAAAGTGAAGCTGTCCATTTTCTAAATGTTTCAGTGTTACTTCTAGCTATTTCTGTGGGAGCTGGTGTCTTGTTCTATTATAATTACCATTTTACGGTCTTTTATCTTAATTGTGTGCAAGGGCCACACCTGATTCATGTTTGTATCTCTAACATCGAGAAGAATGGGGTGCAGTAAATATTTGTGTATTTATAATTTGGCTGACTTGAAATCACATCTCAGCATATTCAGGCCCGACCCATACTCCAAGCTTCATGCCAGTGGAGTGGTCTTTCCCACGATGGTATTTCCTGGTGTCACTCTTCACCCTCCTTCAAGTGTCTGCAACACTGTTAGTCCCTCTCTTTTCACATACACACATCTTGCATTTTGATGTTTGAGAATTATTTTTTCTTTCTTCTGAAATTGTCAGCTCTTTTAGGAGAAAATTCGGTTTCCCATCTTTTATCTCTTCTAAACTTTAATACATGTTCTTTGCAAATATTAGAAGCAAAATAAATACAGTTTCAAGAAACAAATTAGTGTATAATTCCTTTAATGCCCATTGCATGGAAAATCAAAGAAATTGATAATTTTAAGGGAACTTTGGAATAATTTGCTCTAACGTCTTCATCTTACATCTAAAGGAGTCAAATTCAAAGAAGTTCTGCTACTGTCTTCAAGATCTCAGTGATTAAGATGGAAAAAAATTTGGACAAGAACCAAAATCTCCTGATTCCTAGGCAATGCTTTTATATATTTGCGATTATACTACTCTACCTCTTTAAGTGTATAAGGTATCATGTGAGTCTTTTTTTATTGCTTTACATGATAAAATGTCCAATTCATTACTTAATTTTTCAATGATAACTATGTAAATTATACAAAGATGTTTGCTAGATGAGTTTTTTAATGAATTTTTCATTTGGATAATTATTTAAAAAACAAATTTACTAACATTCTCAAAATACAGGAAGAAGATATAGAACTATTACAAAATAAGATGTTTACATAAACAAAATCATTATTATTTCTAGGAAAGGATCTTAAGAAGAAAACCACTCTTAGAACTCACTTAGAAACAGACTGCATATTTAATAGCAAATTATTTCATTTAAATATCAGTACAATTATGTGATTGTCATCAATTGAATATAAAACATAAATAATATCTACTTTGGTTAAGTAGTCTTATTTATATAAGCAAACAAGTTTATTAATATCGTTCTCTGACTCATTCTGCATATATATTTTCTTCATGTATTTTATACATGTACTCAGGCAAAGTATATCAATATGTATAGCATCAATTTATCATGGCTGCCATTTTATACAGATAATTTAATTCCCCCACTCGAAAATTGACAAACATTTTATGTCTTTTTTCTTTTAACATTTTATGTCTTAAAAGTTACTACTGAGGTATAAGTAGGAACATGCCATTGTTTTGGACATTACATTACAAACATTACATTCTCAGGTAGGATGGAGGATGGTTTCTAACTGCCTTTTAATATTTTCTTTTTGAAAGGTCAATAAGATTTGTGGCCGTCTAATCAGAACACCTACACAAAGCCCCCGTTGTTCTTTTGATGGAAGCAAAGAGAAGCATGGGATGAAGATCTCTCCCAGAAACGATGAAGAGACACTTGCCAACAGAAGAAAGTAAGACATTTGTTTTACAACCAGAAAGAGAAGAGAAAGTAAGCCATTAATTTTCAACAGAATAGAATGTATTCAATTATGTAGAATGGAATACACTATTGAAGAAAAAAAGATCACCATTAATTACTTTTAAAATTCAGCGGTTGCTCCTATTCAATTAATTAGGAATATGAGTGCAACTTGTGAGACCAATAAAACTTTCTGTGATAAGGGACGCTTGCTATAATACAACATGGCAGGCAATAGGCACATGTAGTCACTGAGCACTTAAAATATGGCTAGTGTACAGCAGATCTCTAGGACTTACTCATCTTGCTTCACTGAAACTTTATGCCCATTAATTAATACCTCCCCATTTCCTTCTCCCTGTGACCAACAACACTGTATTGTACCCTTCAAATTTTAAGAGGGTAGATCTTACCACGATAAAATAAAAAAATTAGTTTGAAATATGGCTAATGTGACTGAGGATTGAATTTTTAATTTTAATTAATTTTAGTCTTAATTCTATATATACCTACTATATTGGACAATGAACACAGAGTATTCACATAAATGATGAAATCAGTATTACCATATGCTAAGCATCTGTTAGAAAATGGTTGGGTAAGAAGAAGTTTCTATACGTTTTATCTGGAATGCTGAAAATGGCTATCTATTGATTCAAAATGGTAAGCATTGAGTAGCTTGCTTCTATAATTCACGTTTCTACCTCTATTCCCGTCATTGTTTCACATGTTAAATTAGAGCATTCATTAATAATCTCTTCGCTTGATAATTGACAGTCAAACTGAAAAACTCTTAAAAATGAAGGAAACTATTATTTTATTTACTTTTGCATTCTATTGACCAGTGTATGTTCGGGCAAATACTAGATTCTCGGTGGGTGTTTTTGAATTGAACTGAAATTCAGAATTCTATATTCATTTATTAATTCAAGTAGTTATTTCTAATAATACCTTATGGCAAACTCAGTATGTTACATAGCTTTACTCTCTCTAATGTAGAATCTGTCTTTCCTTTTGGGACAGTGGTCCTAATTGCCTCATTCTCTTCTCAGATGGACTATAATTTGGAATAAAGATCTGGGCTATTGCTGGCTGTTTGCCGCAGCTCAAAAGAATTAGCACTTTGTTTGCATGCAAAGTAGCTGTTTTTTTTTCCCCAAACATCTATAGTGATCAGCAGTCTTTTCTTGTATTTGAGAAATTAATGAGTTAGGCTAGCGTATAGCATATAGTGGCTAGGGTATAGTGTAGAGTGGTTCTTATAATAAAATCTAGCTAAGGAAGATCTTAAGTTCTTAAAGGTCATGTCTGTTTCACCACCAGAGCAATTCAGTTGTTGGAAAGACAAAACAAAACCCAATACAAGTGAAATGTCTCAGGAGTAATGAGAGGCTCATATGAATAGCTAGTTTTATAAGTATCTGTCCATCCACTGAATAAACGTCCTTGTCACCAATCTTGCAAACTCATGTATTTCTCTGTCCCTAATCAGCCAGCCACCATTTAGCCATTGCCCAAGAATAAGAGTAGGTCCATCATAGACCAAAGTCACAACACACAGAGTGAACAACCAAAGGTATTACACATGAGCCCGCTTATGCAATTTATTTCTACATATTTTTATTGCCACTCCTAAATGGAACTTAATTGCTAGGGCAGTATACTTTGGCTTAATACTTATATGTTGTACAGACCTATACATAAACATCTCCTGAATTTTATTTAGCTTTCAATGTCCATATACTAGGCCTGAATTTTATTTATCTTTCATCCCTGATAATTCCACATGAGGTCATACATTTCAAATGAAATAGCTGGGGGAATGTAGCAGAGTAGGTGCTGAGTGACTATGAGCTACTTTCTGTGCATCTTAACTTGTGCTTTTTCTACCCACTTGAGCCTGATTTTCAATAGATCATTTCCACTTGATGATATATTGCTTCTATATAGGCCTGATCTCATAGCGTGGAGGATCAGATAGTCAGATCATGGGTATCTCAGGTTGCAGTGTCACTTGCTAGCTCATGGTCAAGTGTGTAGTTTCTATCAGATCCCAGTTGCAAAACAACCGACCAATGAACTAACCAACCAACCAAACAAAAACAGTGTTTAGCAAAAGCGGGAATGCTTTTAGTCCAAAATCCTTGATGTCTATACTGTTATTCTTCTAACGGGACTTTCCAGAATCTCTGTAGAGCATCTTCATTTGCCACTGGTACTTCAGGCGCCATTGAGTGGATGAGCTGGGTCATCTGGACTGAATATCAGAACAGTTTGCAAGAAGCCAACCTACAGACTTCTTTCTCATGCAAAAGCTCCTTGGGGCTACTTTATAAAAGGGTTGTAGCAACACACTCAAGTATGTATCATGTTTTCTCTAATGTGCAAAGGGACCCAAATAGTATTGTGCCTCTTCCTGAGTGCTAGGTCATCTTAAGGCAGAAATTTGGCCTTTTACATTAGAATATCCCAATACGATCCAGACTACTGGACATTTAGAAACCCTGCTGAATTCTCAAGCCTTGAAATATCAATATTTTTCCCCACCAGAGTCATGCACATGTCTACTAAGGCAACTAGGATGATGTGATCAATATTTTATTATCAGCATGGTGTCCTATAGGATGTCCACATGATCAAGGCTCCTGTCTGTCATGGAATGGGTGAATTGCCCTGAGGTCTAACAGTGAAGAAATTCTTACCAGTTGAAAGTGAAATATTCCTAATTATCCTTACTAATTGGTAAAGAGATAAAAACATTGCCAAATGGTTAGCTAGATAAGCAGGTGGCAGTACATGTTTTGATTTGCTCAAGCAGATAGCACATACATAGGAGGATATAATTGGAGTCACCCTCTGACTCAGGTTATGATAATCCAAACATTCTCCAAGCCCACCTCCGTGTGCACAGACCAGCCAAGCAAATGGGATGAATATTGAATAGACAGATTGAGACAAAGATATGTTTATAATACTATATCTGGTTACTTTTCTGAACTCCATTCTAATGGTTGGTCTGTTGATGGGATCGGATTTTCTATGTGTACAGTCATGTGGTTCACTGGTAGAGCCATTCTAGCAAGAAGCATGCTATACCTTGTAAAATTCTTATAGTCTATGCACTTAGCTGCTTTCTTTGGATGTATTCCAAAAAACTCTTGCTCATATTCATAAGGAGAATTCTTGAGTATCTGTGGTGGCTGAGAGTCAGAGGCAAGTTATGTGTCCATAACAAGAAAAATGGAAAAATAAAATATGTTACTTTGGAACATTAAGAGTCAGAAGGAAAGAATATATTTTCGTGCATCAAAAAATATCATGATTAAAGAGAAAAAAGTATTAAGCAGAATGAGAATAGTGCAATACCATTTTTATAAATTAAAAACAAATTATAAAAATCAATAGGTATTTTTCAAGGAAAGGATTTGGGAAATTACTTATCTTAAATATATAAGAATCAGTATTTGTAAAAAAATTCTATCTTAAGTAATAAGTTATGATAGTATGCCAGGGGTTGATGAGTATGCTTAGCTCTCTGTATCTCAGAAAATATGTGTGTGTTTGTCTGTGTATACATATAAATTAACATACATATATGCACTGTTATTTTAAACTTTAGATGAAAAGCTTTTTTTAAAATCCTGTTTTCCTAATAAAAACATAGTTAAATCTCCTTTAGTCAAAATTCTCATGAGAGCTAATACTCAATTTTTAAATAACCTTTTTTTGCCATTTCATATGCATAATTTTTCATTATGATGTATAGTAGATATAGTGATTATCCAGATAGAGATGAAATGTAATTTGCTGAAGAGTTTTTGACTTGGGACTTCCTCATTAATTAGAAAAAAATGAAAGTTTATTGTAAAATAAAAAATAGATAAGGAAAAAATGAATTTCCAGTCAAGCCATCCAAATCAATGACAAAATCATTGACCACTATTTTGTGCAACTCATAAAGTTAAAAAAATCAACAGCTTCTGAGTTAGTTTTTATATTGTATTGTATTGTATCCATGGTAGGTTTTCTTGAGTTTTCTTTATTTACCTTGGGCAATTCCCATGAGAATATCTATAACAGAAAGTATTATCTATAAATTTAAACCAATTTAAAACTATTAAAATAAAGCTATGGAACAACAACAAAAAAACCCCACACCAATTTCTATAAATATAATTGCTCTAGTAGGTGAAAAATAGAAATTGTAAAATGCATCAGTTGTTTCACCGATGTAAATGGAGATAAACACAGTTCTATGTGTAATAATTTAAAATACATTTTTATATATAAATAACTCATAGTCTTTTAAAATTATATTGGCGTAGTTTATTTTATAGGGCGCCTGGGTGGCGCAGTCGATTAAGCCTCTGATTCTTGAGTTCGGCTCAGGTCATGATCTCAGGGTTGTGAGATCAAGCTCTGGGTTGGGCTCCGTGCTCAGTGGGGAGTCTACTTGGAATTTTTTCTCCCTCTCCCTCTGCCCCTCCCACTCATGCTCTGTCTCTCTCGCCTTCTAAAAATAAATAAATAAATCTTTAGGCTTAGTTTCTTTAGTGGTATATCTTATAAAAAATAGTTACTTAAAGTTTGTTTATTTACTTATTTATTTTAGTAATCTCTACACCCTATGTGGGGCTCAAACTCACAACACCAAGATCAAGATTCGCATGCCTTTCTGACTGAGCCAGCTAGGTGCCCCAAAATTTATTGTTTAAATATACACATTTGTTGTTTAAAATTATGTTAGATTTATGGTACCCTGACCTAAAAAAATATTTTCTGTTTTTTGTAACAGTTTGATTTATATAGTTTTCCATTATTCAAGCAATTCTTTTGAGGTTGCATTAATATAACTATTGTTGGCTTATAAATAATTTGACCAGTTAGCTTTTTTTTAAGCTACCCAACACTATTTATTAAGTGATAATTAATTACTTTTTCATTCTTCAATTGGGTTGTTTAGTCCATTTTTTTAAGGTTTATTTATTTTAG